ACTCAGGCCCTTATGCTTGCCAGGGAAGCGCTTATTCCACTGAGCCATCTCCCCGGCCCCCTTTCATGCATTGTTGATGGGAAGGCCAATGGGTGCAGCCATTCTGGAAAAGTCTGGTCAAGACCAGACATAGTTATATGATCCAGTAATTCCACTCCTTAATTTCCTGAAGAAATTAGCATTTGTGTCCATGCCTCCGTGTTCCAAAACTCTGGGTTCTATCCCCACCACCATAACACGAAAGCAAAAACAAATTGTACAAAGAATGTTCATAGAATTTTTCACCAATGGTGCAAATGAGCCCAAAGACCACCAACTGATGAATGGATGAATAAAATGTGACCTGTTCATACAATGGACTATTAACTGACAAGAAAAATAATTGTGATCCCAACATGATGTCACAACACGAATGAACCCTTGCAGCATGGTGTAAACCCAAGGAGCCAAACAAAGTTCACCTATTATTGGGTGTGGTGGTGCGCGCCTGTAATCCCAGCTCTTGGGAGGCTGTAAACAGGCGGATCACTAGAGTCCGATCTAGTAGTGAGACCCTGAACACCCTGTAGACCCTTCCCTAAAAATATAAACAAACAAGCAAAGTTCACCTATTGCTTGATTTCATTTATATGAAGTGCCCAGCATAAGAAAATCTACAGACACAGAATATAAACCAGGTGCTGTGGAGCACGCCTATAATCCCAGGAGGCTGAGGTAGGAGGATCGCCTTAAATTCAGGGCCAGCCTGGGCTACATAGCGAGATAGCTGAAGGGCACAGCGCTTCTTTTTGGGGTCATGTAAATGCTGTCATAGTGATCGTACAGCTCTGTGGCTAAGTGCCATTCAGTTGTACATATTAATTGGGTGAACTGGCCGGACACGCATGAAGCCTTCTGTTCAATCCCTAGTATCAAAAAAAATGGAAGCTGGAGAGTTAGCGTAGCAGTTTACGCATTGGGCTCTACAGTGCGAGTTTGCCGGTTCAAGCCCCCGTCCTGCCTGTTTAGAAAGAATGTATACAATGTGTTAATTATTGAAACTGTCCCACCAATTTGATTTGAAACTGTCTCATTGCTATTTGTTTATCAATAAAATTATGGACAAAAATAAATAAATAAATACTGGGGGAAAAAATAAAATAAAATATAAAAAAATAGGCTTTTTAACAAAGGAACTGGAATAAAGTCTTCTATCAGTTATACTACTTTAATACACATTCATTTTTAAACAAAATATTTGTTTTAACATAAATAAACAAATTATATCAGTGTTTGTGAATACAGTACAAGCATTGTTAATGATTAGTGCTCTTGAAGTGAGATTAAAAATGACCTAAGAGGGGCTGGTGAGATGGCTCAGTGGTCTAA